AGGTCAGTGTACAGTGCAACGTAGCTGACCGATGTCTTCTGACGAAATATTATGTTCACTACATGAGGCTGCGATCCATCCGACTGCCAGTATGTTTCATAGTTGTTATCCCGCAGCTGTTCGACGCCGTATCCTGAATTTACACGAAACTCAAATTTAAAAACAAAACTACACAACTAGAAAAAACTCTTTAGCTAATGTAACAGACCGATGAGTAGATCTGCTGTGACAAAGACTGTTAGTAGTCTTCAGTACCGAGATAATTAGTAACGACGGTGATACGCTAGTTTCGATCGTATCCAGTCAGTTTCGATGATCGCTTCAAGGTCAATTGAGATGCACCTCTCACCATGTTACACATAACGAACCACTGTAGTATCCTACCAATGCAATCTATCAAATGATACTCTGGGATATACATATTTGACCCATGCCATTCCGGTGGCAGTGGCATATTGCATCCTGTCCACTGATATGGTCGACCACTGGCATCCACAACCGGAAATGATACGCTCGCACCTGTCATGGCCGAACCATACTATATAAATCTCCCAGGCGCGACCTACTGTCATGTGGTTCCTGTCATTTGGGATATCAGGATTAAGAACAGAGTACCCAGATTAATCCCCTGACCTATCGTCGCTGACAGGAACAGAAGCTACATAATATACAGCGAAGCTTGAACAGTCTGCCGCACGAAGATGATCGAACATGCAAAAGACACCACGTATAAATTGCACTGTAGGTATAACATCAGCAACCTGACTTTAAAGAACAGGTTGCTTAGCTAGATATCTGTCAATCTCATAGATTTAACTGAATGTTCATTTAATTTGACGGCAAACAGATACCTCCAGCAGTCCATCACATCAACTAGTAAGTGAGTCAATGCCTACTGCTGTCGCACAAAACGCGTTAACGGGTAGACTACCAACCGGGCACTGAGCCTAAGGCGCTGTTCACAGAAATAAACCGATAATAAAGTTACGAAAAAATTTGTTGAAAGGTAGTACAAACTGCTAAAAGACTAAGCACTAAACACAAGGTGCTGTTAGCCTCCGCTAATCTGCCTGATGTTCGGTGACAGTGCAATTTGCTGACAGGTATAGTAATGCTTCAGTTTTCGCTTGATCGCATTAAACAATAACAAAGCAATGACAGAAATTAGACGACCATTGACGAATCCTGCCCTCGAGAATGATGTGTGAAAAGTCACCTATCAGCGAATGTTCCAGATGTGCCCCTGTTATCATCATCGGTCTTTTATGATCCACGGCTGGACGAATGCTCCTCCAAGACTGTGCCATAAATTTCTGTTTTGTGCGACTTTTATCCATCCTTTCGATTCAGCGAATTTGTTCAGCTCATCGTGCCATCGATTTTAAAATCTTCTTTTGGTACGTTACCGTCTCATAGAACTGAGCCACTGTCTCTCTGGGTCCAACGACGACCGGTTATTGACCTAACGTCTCCTGCACATTATCACTTTAACTTCACAGACTTTGTTTATGTTTTTTGCTCATCTCATTCCTCCGCTTTCCTAGTTTCTCTTGTAATTTCTGACATCTTTCCAGGCGGTGTTGAGCAGTCTGCAGTTTATGAACAGCTCTCAGGCTTAATGTCCGTATTTCGCAACCATAGGTTAACACTGAGAGTACAGACGCACTGATCAAATACTTTCTGTTTCAAGCACAATGACAGATTCCCGAATGGGAACATTTTCATTCTTCAATAGTGTCCCATGCCCTATATACTCTTGCGGATTTTGCAGTCGGTTGTCTATGGCAGAGACATGCCGCTTGAAATAGACGAACGTTCGCACCACTTTAAGTCTAAATCAATTGGTGACGTTGTTAGACGACGCAGATATTAAGCTACCCCTGTCTTTAGTTTTTAGAAATGATAAGTCGATATGAATAAGCCCATCACCTCCAGTAACTCATCAGTTAGATGTTACTGTCGGTTTTCAGGTTAATGATATGACATCCCTGGGAATCAAATAATTGGTAACTCATACCTGAAGACGTACTGGCTCCAACACTTAATTTTTTAAGAGATAATACCATCTGCCGTCTCCTCCTACGGTCATTGCAAATGCAGGGTACTGAATAGAAAAGTGAGTGGTAAGAGCGACAGAACTGAAATGTTCTCGAAAGCCTGCGTTGTTGTGACAAGGATCATCAAGAATCAGACGACAATCACAGATACCGTTGTTTTTGATGCAATCCTTGTTTAAATCGAGAATTTAAAACTGAAAAGATTTTGAACTGCGATCGTCATGAAGCCACCGGAGAGACTATCTTGGTAAAGCAACATGAAATATGGCCAAGGAGCAACCCAGAACCACATGGCTAGTTCGAATCAGACAAGTAGCATTGTACCACCTTGGAATTTAGAGAATGGAGCCTTGCCGACTGGCTAATGGCCGAAACTACTGAGAAACCTGCTTTAATCTCCTGCCGCCACAACCTGAAAATAGTGGATTTTAAAAACCAGTGAGTGACGGAGGAATGAGTTAGTGAAGAAGCGGATGATCAAATCAGTGTACTGTAAACGAACGAATAAGAAATAAATAGATGAATCAATGAATAATGGGTAAACGGATGAAAGAACGAACGAACGAATGAATAGCTTCTTCTCTATAACTGTAAAGGAAGCATTAACTGCATGAATAGCTCTTCAGCTAATTTTTTTCATGAAGGTCTCATAACGCAGTCAGCTAGACCTCTAACGGACTAAAAACAAAACTGTTCCATACTAACCATCAAAATCAAACTATATGCCTAAAAGGCACCAGATCTTGACATCCCATTCGTAATGAGCACGATATTGTTGCAACGAACAATATGATATGAAATGCATCTGGAAATCAGATGCTCAAATACAATGGAGCAGTATTCTACTCAAATGGACCCCGAGTCATCCTCTCCTATTCGGGGAGCAGGGATGAAAAAGTTCAACCATGCTTTCGAAAAATTGATGATCACGTCTATGGCCTTCGATTTTTTCCGTGCAAGATGGTAATCAAAATTCTCATCTCTGAGAGAGATCTGCTTAAGGGAATAAGCAGGTTTATTCAGCTATGATTATACCTTTTTCCTGTAAATCGGTCGTTTCAGATTTAATCACAGATCCAAGATTAAGGAAGATATAGCCCGTGGTTCAACTGCAATTCGCGCTGGCACGCAATGCTTTGCTTTTACCGTTATCAGTACAATAGGATACATATGCTCATGCTTGATTTTAAAGAGTTCACATTTTAATTACAGTAGATAAATGCTCAAATCCAAGGGCAATGCACCGTCAGAAGTTTGAAAGCTTTAATATCGTTTGATTAAAGAATAGTGTACTGTACTG